ATATATATATATAATTTCAAACAATAAACCAATAACAAAATTTCAACTCCTCAAACAGTAACTCATGCAAATACAAATTAAACAATTTCACATTTCTTTAACAATTCAACAACAAAAATTGTTGGCAAAAAGTGAYTTTGTGCTTCTTGCTACTCCAATTTAAGAAAAGTATAATTTTGACCAACAGGCTTAAAAGACTGATGCAGATGGACAMCTTTTGTAGATTTTAAATGATATCCCCCCCAAACCAGATGCAAAACATCTTCCTCAAAATATGCAATATTAAGTACAGTTTCAATTTTTTACATTTGCTGTTTCTGCTTCAATGTCTTGGTTATAAAAATGACCACAAACCTTTCCTTTTACCATAAAATAGGCTTTTACTTTATTTATGGCAAGAGTTTTCAAAAAAACAAATAAAAAAGGCTGTTGATTTAACAACTGATAAATGTAAATGGGACTTCTTAAGAAAATATAGATTAGGGTTAGTTTACTCACAATTTRATCACTTTACAAGTTTCGCTTTAAAAATAACCTATGAATCAGTTTTATTGACTAAGCTTCACTCTTTCAGTGATTCAAACACCACTTCAAGACAGGTCATCCATGGCTATTTGGATCTGGAAGATTCTTAAAATGTAATGTAGGCGGTGAGCAACAACATTTGTAACAAACGGTCCTTTTTAAAGCAGCAGTTTTGACTCATTTGGTTTTGGAAATGATAATCATAGTTGGTAATCACTGTGTGGTTTCAGTAGAGCACCGGTTCAACTCAGTAATAATGTAACGTATTTATAAACGGTGAATTATGGGATCTGCTTCACAGACCTGAGCTCTTCAGAGCTGTGGCTCAGACACAATGAGGGACGACGCACGACAAATGTCCGGTGTTGGACACAAACACTGCGGTCACTCGATGGGAGCGTTGACTCTTTGAACAGGCAGCTTGATAACAACTGGAAGTAAAACCTATTTTTACGCCTGACTTCAAGCTGCATAATAAATAATGTGAAGCACGTGGAAAAATACTGAACTCCAGGTGACCAATACAAGACAATACAAGAGTACAACAAAGTCACATCATAACAAACGTGTGTGGGTGGTGACGATTGCAGTTGAGCTAGTTTTATGTGTAGATTTACCTGTAAGCCTAAAAACACACACAGATACCAGGGTGGGGTGTCTTCAATGGTGTAAATCATATCCATCCTCCGTGCATCCACACCGTCTGTGCTGTCGAGTGTCTCAGAAATTGAGCTCTAGACGTGCAACGACAAGCAGGGAGGGGGGAACACTGTAATTACTTTCACAACATCTTTGAAATTGTAACCCTCCTGTAAGGGTGACAATACACATAACAGTTTAATGCATTTTGTTAGGATTTATCTAGAGTTAAGTAGAGGACATCAATGACGTAAAGTGAGCGTGTCCGAGCAGTGAAGGAGGAATTTAAATGTCAAATGAAAAGAGAAAAAAAAAAGCATTGTCTCTGTGACAAAAGATCCAAGGAGAGATATTGAGTCCGTCTTTTCTGTTCCTTATCAGCTACTTTCAGCTCAAGTTTAACTCTTAAAGTTTTRAAGTCTAAAACACAGCTGAGCTTCTCCATGTTTTCATTTGATGAATTAAAAACAAAACTCAGACACTTCTAGTTGTAAACAGCTTCATTGTGATCACTTATTAGATAGAGTGAAACTTTAGACCTTCCTTCATTTTTAAAAACCATAAAAAAATAATTGCAAATAAAAAATTTAAAAACAACTGAGTAATGATCCAACTCACAAAAGAACACTTTCTTCTCAGCATTTCAAGTCAAAAATAAATCTGTTTTATACTACCAAAGGAAGTGAAAATAAATATACTGTCTTTAGGAAAGACTTCCATTAAAATACAATTTGAAACTAACTTCCATTTAAAGAACAATATGAAATAACATAAAAAAAAACATCCAATCATTTTCATAAACAACCTATTTACGTTGAACTTTGGGGTTTTAAAAAATGCTAAGACAAACTGATGCATGAAAAAAAAATGCAAGTCACAGGAAACATGATGCTGACTATGGTTAAAAAAAAAAAAACCATCATCATAAGTAAGGTTTTTAACCCCTGCAACGAATCCCAGTTTAGTTGAAAAATGACATTGTTGTTTGAAGTTTTCTGTTTTTAGAGTGACCTTTTCTGCTGCTTGATGATCCTTGCTGTAGATGGCCATCAGCTCTGTGTTCTCAGTGTCCTGGTCTCCACTGGCACCGCCGACTCCATTTACCACCACCTAAACACGYAAATTAGATTTGAGTCACGCGCATTCTCCTTTTACATGACAACACATAAAGGAGATATAATTATTTTACAAAAACAGGATGGCACATCTGATTTAGATATGAAAATGTATACCCTGTCCTGCAGTATACAAACTTCTTAAAAACAGGCCAATTTCCTACTGAGGCTGAAGGCATGAATATGTGAGCTTTTATTTATCAGGTTTTAAACGCTGCCTTTTGTTTAATTAATACAAGCGAAGCTCACCATTGTATTCTAACTTTTCATTTCTAATTTTTTTGCTAACATGTACTGACACAAAGATCATAGTTTGAGTTGGCAGACTAAACAAGAAGATACGATGAAGACAAAACAAGTGAATTAGTTTAAAAGGGAACTAAAAGATCTGAAAGAACAACTGATATAAAATTAAGGAAATAGAATACGAAATAAGAAAGAAAAGCCAAGTACACTTTAAAGAAAGACAATTAATGTCATCTTTACTAAACAAATCAATATTTTGTCCTTCAGTAATATCCTGAGCTCTACCCACCAAACTGCTCACATTTTATCAAACCTTTGTACTCTTCACCCAGATGACTCACTTCTTTTGTGTCACTGAATGTTTAAATCACGTGCGTTTTATTTATGAGAAGGTCTGAGATAAATTAACACTRTTATTAGTCTGCCTGTTGAGTGACATCAGGCATCAGTCTGGTGCCGACAGACAAACAAACCAAACAGATGGACACTGGGTGACCATGAAGAGGTCCGTTTGTCCACTTGACTGAATGAGCAAAAACAATAAAAACTGTGCCACATTTAAAGCGCCTGTGACATCAATTTTTTTTTGTAATACATATGAATGCCTTTTTAGAAAGAGGACATTGATAAAATATTGCAAAACAAATTTCATGTCGCTGAGATGAACAGTTGTTGAGATATTTGCCTGTGAAGTAACAGGAAGTGATGTCATAGGGGAATGTCTGCATGTGAACAGAGCGTTGCTACAACAGCCAACAACCCAGACTGTATAGAACAATCTGATGTTTGAGATTATTTTGAGTCCCTATCAGAGAGATGAAGAAGAGTCAGAGTTCAAATAATATTGTTTCAATAAACAAAGACCAGAGAGTTTTCTTTGTTAGAGTTCCCCTTTGATGTCACTTCCTGTTTCACTTTGGCTGAGCCAAGTTCAACAGAAAATATGCCAGTTATGGGAAAAAATGTGTTAAATTGTGTGTATTATTCCAACTTTCTTAAATATAAAGATGTTTTCCTTGACTTTTGGTATTTGAAGAATATGCATGTCACAGGACCTTTAAGCACAAGAGTGAAAAAAGGAAGAGAGGTAGAGGGTTTGTTTGGACAAGTTGTGTTTCACGTTTTAGGAACGTTGTCACGGAAACAACGGATACACACCGGGATGGGGTAGAAATGCGTGCCATGTTTGGTCTCGTCATCATATTTTCCACCCTCGCTGTTGCYGTCCATCGATTTGGAGGTGGTGTTCTTCCCGACGCCCATGTCTGTGTCTTTGATGCTTTCCTTCTCCTCCTCTCCGGTGCCTCCTTTATCTTGCTCTGGTCCAAACGCTGCAGATGAATCCTCCTTCAGCTCTGAGACATTTTCCAGGAGTGCCTCACCTGTTTGGACACACAAAAACAAACAAGTCTGAGAACTCAGAGGAGGCTGCCAGGTCACTGCTACTTGTACTTCTGAGTACTAACTGATCACATAAAGAAGGGAAATGTTCCCAATCATGACTAGAAAAATATCAGGATTTGTTTCCCTTTTTTTTTTAGTTTCACATCGTCTTTCAATTCTGTTTTTTGAAGTGTTTATTTTGCCAAAAATAGCAGGACTATGGTTCTGACACAGCAGTCAACTGATCAGGAGCCAAAACCAACAACTTTTTAATATCTGACCATCAGCATGAATCAGGATAAAGTTTTTCTTTTCCTTTTCAAGATTGCCTACAAAGTAAAAACCAGAGGAGACGTTAAGCAACAGGTTTGGGGAAGGGAACTGACAATGAAGAAGACACAAACCAAAATTCAGAGCTGGTATAAAAACGTTGAAGGCAGAAAGAAGGATTTAGGTTTGGTCTATCAGGCGTGGGGTGGTTGTGTCTAAATCTCATGGTGTGTAAGTTACATTTGTTTATAATGCAACCTTGATTGATGTTACTCTTTACGATCCCTTTTTCACAGTTTCTGTTTAAACTTGAAAAACAGACTCGCAWTATTTAAATTTATCTTGAATTGCCTATGGTGAACATTTACTAATGGTAAAAAACTGGACACTAGTAGAATAATGTGTTCAAAATGTTTTATTAAGTACGGAGCTTCAAAGGTTTTGGGGTTAACTGAGCCATGCTTCAGAAAGAACACAAATCACATCCCAAGAAACAAAAATAAAATACCAAAATGAATATGTCTGATACAAATAACTAAATTATCAGGGTGTAGCCCCAAATACGCCCTCCTGTGCTTGTGATCCAAACCTTCAAACAAAAGATTAAAGGATCACAATTTTCTTCTCCTCCCATAGAGCTCAATGCAAAGCTGCTCCAATATTTATACACTTTTGTTACTTTTTAAAAACATTCTTGATTACAAAACCCGTATGACTAATTAACGGTGTTTCAAGTTAGCCTTAAGAATGTTAGCTGAAACTAAAGAGGTCAAATTAACTATGCATATAAAAACCTTAACATGGTTTTTACCACAGACTTCTTCAATGTCCAACAGAAAATAATTTAAACTGAGATAATTCAGACTAGCCCAGTGTTAAATCTATGTAGAGCTGACACTTAAGCCTACACATGAACCTTTGCTTGTTGTGTCCGAGTCACTCTGAACCAAAATATGCACAGATTGGCAACACGGCACCAAAAACAAGACAAAAAACTGCATCTGAATATTGTATTTGAACTGTAGTTAAAATGATTAGGATTACAGATAATTACAGATTATTCCAGCATTGTCTTTATACGAAATACATTCACCAATAACAGGACAACAATGCCATTAAATATCTAAAACATTGTTTTTCCATTATTTTGCCTCAAAATGAGACAGTTTTTATGTTGGAGTGATGTTTTTCTAAAAGTTTCGACCCCCGCCCCCCTCCCCCCTCCCCAGCCACTATCCCTGCTTGCAGTGTAAGATGTTGGGATAGGTGTGCAATACCTAGCTGACACATCCCATCACTCCTGTGAAGCTGGGCAGCTGGGAGCATCTGTGTGGAGGGAGCGAGAGAAAGGAAAGGAGGAGGTGAAAAGAAATAGGATGAAGGCCACGATAAGAGGTGGGGGAGGGGGAGGAGGCACAGAGGAGAAACACAAAGGGGTCAGGGATCAGGAGGAGGGAGGTGAGAGATACGTTAATTTGACAAAAAGCATTCAACCACAAACAGTGACCGATGTGCTGCTGATTATAACTTAGATTATCAGGTGAAATGTAGAGCTGGAAGAGCAGAGAGAGACCAGTTTCATAATCTATCCTTCCACCTTGGCAAAAGTCACAGACAAGAACAACCCAGAATTTATGAGCTGAGGATTTTTAATTAACAATAAAACTGCCTAATTTTAAAAAATCCTGATATTTTTTATTTCCTGACTCCCTGCAGCAGCTCTGATCACACAGACAATCACACAGCTGAAGAAAAAGCTATCAGATTATTGCTGAACTGTTTTGTAATATTGATAGGAGATGTGATTTATAAAAGCACCCCGCAACAACACCACAGTAAAGTTGAATTAAGGAAGGCAGAATGCAGGATTACAGCATTTATCCCAGATGAGCTGAGCTGCAAAGGAGCAAATAAATAAAAAGATAGAAGATAATAAGTGTACACACAGCAGCTAGAACAAAGCAGCAGCTAAAGATCCACGTGCAGTCCGAGAGAACACAGAACTGGTTGAACTTTTCTACAAACACGTCATTAAGTGCTTCTACAACTGAGTGCTTTTGTTACTGTAATCAGACCTGAATGACATCAGCTGGGAAACTGCTCTGGTGACTAAGCAGTTTTTTTTGTGTGGAAATTTTTCCTTTACTATTTAGTAGCTTCACTGCCTTTATTCAAACAAGACTTGTGAGGGCTTTTTTTCCCCCCTTCCACTAAATTGGAGGAAAAATAAAAGCTTCTCCCCAGACATTAAACTACGTAAAATTATAAATTTCATCTGAAAAATGTGAATTTCTGTGATTCTCAATGTTTTTTTTTAACTTGAGTTGAATGATTGAAACATCCAATCAGAAATCTTTGTACACACTGACGTGCTTCACAAATAAAAAAAACTATGACTGCACTTCAAGCTAATTGTTGTTAATGGAGGTGTAACTAAAGTTCACACMTAAATAAACATCTAAAGAGAAATTACAGTAACAAGGGTTCAGATAAACTTATTTGTCAATTTCTTTCTGGGAAACTCTAAAAAACATTAAAAYGGGAGAAATACTAAATTTTTGCAGCAATGCCTAAGATTCCCTTAAGCCCGACTCATCAGCTATGATGTGGGTCTGACAAAACCATCCCAGCTGCCTTTGGGTGACTCTATGATGAGCCTGTCTGGGTCATGCTCACTGACTGAGCTGAAATAAAAAAATAAAAAGTCATGCTTTTGTGAAATAAAGTCTGGCATAGGTGCCATTTTTTTAAATTTATTTTGTACTGTGCAAAGGACAACCTTTTTTTAAATATCACCCATGTAATAGTTATTTAAAAAGACAAAAACATTCTTTAAGTGTGAACTTTTAGTTTTATTACTGCAATCACATTTTGACTCGTGAACATTCACACTATGAATTTCATTCATTCAAAGATGTTGCAACCCACTGAAAACCAAAAAATATGTTTTTGAAAAAGCTTATGAGAAGACTTGAAGCGGTGAAGAAAGGGTAYGGACTTCGTAAATAGATAATTCAAGTTATAAAACAATTACAATTGTTATTAAACCAAAATACACGTGTCTTGTAGACCCCACCCCGAACTCCACAAGGGTAACGAAATATCTAGGTCATGTTTACACTGGTCAGTTTCCTGCCAGGAGAGGAGAGGTAATGGAAATAAGGTGACATGACTCAGTACAGATTAAAAGATAAAAAGTGAGAAGGAGCACTGACGCTTGCATACAGCATGTGATTGTAGTTTCTTTATACGAGTACTAAATACARTCAAATATTTCCAGTTCTCTCGTAGGTCTTAGAGATAACTCTAATCTAGCAAATGCAAACCAAATTACTGCAGTTATATTGTAAAAACACAAACAATCATTCCAGATCCAGCAAATTGAAGATATTTAGYAGTAATATTAAATAAATGCATTAGTTGAAGCAATAAAATGTGATTTCAGCTTTTGCCCTGACTGTTGTCTTCATTTGAACATTCAAATCAAGAACTCGTTTGACTTCTTGATTTGAATGTTCTGGCCACTGCAACAGGAACCAATGAACAAACATTCAAATGGTTTAAAACCAGTGTAAATATTTCATTTAAAGGGAAGGAAGCCCAAATCACTGCCATGCTTCATTCTTCAATGAATCAAGGTAACAGTCAATCATTATTTTAAAGACCAACAAAATGTTAAAAAAAGATTCAAATTCAATCAATTTCAATGCATTAATAAGCACCACATGGGTGATTTTGTAAGGGTCATCACGTGATATCTGAGGCTGGAAACAAATCCTACAGACTCAGCAAAATATTTTTTTGATGAAGATCCAAAAATAAACTTGATACAGCTCCAACTTTCCTGAAAGTAGCTGTCTGGTGTAATATCAATCAATAATACTGCRTCACAAACTCTGCCCATGTTGGAGATTTCAGTCACTTCTATTGATTCATTTCACCTTTATCCAGGTAAATATTGAGACATGGTGTCTCGTTCGAAATAGATACCTGCTATGATAGGGCACAGGTCTTCAAAAATGGAAAAATGATTCACAAAAGTGTTGCAATAAACAAACAAAAAGGTTAAACATGATCTTTAACATGTTAGCTTAGCTTAGAATCAGTTTTGTTGCTAGAATGTTTGTTTTATGGAAGGTTACTAAAAAAATAAAAATAAAGCATGAATCTCAAGCTAAAAAAACTGACTCAKGACTATTTTTTAACTAAATAATTGGTCATGTCCTGACTGTAAACCACATCAATCACAAGGACAGTAAATTAATTTTTAACACAGGTGMATAGTTTGAAATTGATTTTAAACAAGGTAATTACAAATTTAAAAAAACATTTAGATTAAAACATATGAAAACAGTTGGTTTGAAGCCAGGCTAATGCATCTTTTTAAAGAAATTATAGTGAAGACCTGTATGCCATTTCTCACTTCTGTTCTCAGGTGAAACGTACAGTAACTGTATGCTTATTATACGTTGTTGAACCTACCAAGCCCTCAGGGTTTCTTTTTTTAATTATTGCCTGAGGATAGAGTTTCGCAGTCTTTATTGTTGCTTGAAGGTGAAAAAAATCCTTTGAGCCGACAGGAGACAGATTCCTGCTGCTGCTCTCTGTCAGACAACCAGTTTTACCTGTATGTAAAGGCTGATTTAAACTCCATGAGACGTTAAGAAGTCTGTTCTTGTCCGTGTGATTGTGAGACGGGGGTTTTCCACATGGACATTTTATACTCAAACTGTGACGCAGAACTCATGGGAAGCTGATGAAAGTTTGATGAAACTTTGATATGATGTGGGTCAACAGTCTGCACCAATTCTGTTTTATATTCTTCTGGCCTCCAAAAAATGCTCCAGCTGACGGACTTCATTTTACAGCCTTATTTTGTGGTGTAATATCTTCTTTTCTGTTAATTATTCAATTAACGTTTAACAGCACTTTGAARCAGAAACAGTCAGGTTTATCATTCCCCTTTGTATTTACTAAATGTCTTTACAACAAAACCTTAAAAATTAGGTTCAAGTTTGTACACACTGTTTTTTGTGATCTAATGCAAACTTTGCAAAAAATATCCCATACAGATAAAACTAAAATAAAACTCAAAAAGGCTTTAAAGTCTGCAACAAATTCACTAGATTTTTTTGCATAAAAGCTTAATTTGCAACTGTCACTGATAAAATCGATTAGTGCCTCCCAACTGCATTCAAAGAAAATCAATAAAAAATGTTTTTTAATCCAATAAAGTCTCCCACCCAGTCATTCAACAAGCCAGATGTGACTCTGAAAGGTATCCGTTATAAAACTAAACCAGTATAATTAGCTGTAAACCATCTCAAACTATATGATAGAGAGATAATTCATGGAAAGTTCATTGTTTTAAATAGCACTATGTACTGATATGCTGCTGAACATGGTTTAGGAGGTTATAATACAGATGGATGATCTCATGCTGTACTGATTAGCCAATAAATATTTTACTTGCAATACTTTCTTTCATTACATCACCAACAGAATCAGAAGCAGGCGTCCGGATATTAATGAAAGTTCCAGTTTGTTGCTTCACAGATTGCACAATCATCTAAAAATCAAATCAAATGCTGTCTTAGTGCAGATTTATAAGTCTACAAGCCTCAGAGTCACAGCTCACCACAGACACACACCTTTCCACAGTACAGTGGGAAAGCAGAGCGTGACTCAGCACTACAGTGTAATCTTACTCACATGTCGGGCACAGCAAACTGTGCCAAGAGTCCATTTCTGCGACCCAGTTTACCTCGGCTTGACCCATCATCCTGTGATGCCTCTGCCCCGTTAACTGAGTCAGACTCACTAAAGAGGTTGATGTAAAGATTTAAAGGGAAGCAGTGCCGGTGATGATGCTCACTGTTCTTTATGTCTGCTGTTCTTCTTGTGCAACAGAGCAAAGGGTGAGCAAAAATCCTTTTATATGTGCTTAGCCAGTAAAGATGGTTCTGATAAACTGTAACTGCACTAAAGGCATTTAAGTCATCAAATTGTTCGTTTTAGGGAAGTAAATTATAAAGTAACAGACAAATGGTAGAACAAAAATAAGAAATGTTGGCTGTGTCCAAAACGGCAGGCCGGGTCCTCCGAAGGCCGAATTTGTCGGCCGCATAAGTCACAGCACCGCGACGAAGGACGTCCAAAACCGAAGACTCCTCCGATGCGGCCGACAAATACGTCCTTCCTTTTCCCCGATTTGAAGGACTGGTCTGATGGATCCTTCCCGGCCCAGCATATCCCATAATGCATTGCGGCCTGACCGGAGATTTGTTTAAGCTAGTAATGGCGGACGAAGCGAGAGAAAAGAATAC